GCACCCATCAGATAAAATGAGTATATATTTATCCAAGTATGTGGAGATCATACCAGGTAACACAGCCTGGATATAAGTTAGCAAGGAGCCAATGTAGCCAATGAAGCATTTCACTTACTGGAACTTGCACAAAAGGCATCTTTCTTTCTTTTTTTTCCCTTTTAGAAACCATACTCATCAGTACTCTCCAGCCCATAATGAAATGGAAGTATCCCCTGGAACCCCAAAACCCTAGCCTCCCGGCCACGAAGCAAGCAAGCTGTCTGAAACAAAACTGTCTAACTGCAGTTCCAGGAAGAACTAATGTCAAGGTAAAAATTTAAGGATTTCTCTCTCTCGCTCTCTCTCTCTCTGAAAGCCTCCATGTATAGCTATGCGATACTATTGACTCAAGAAGTAATGTTGAACACTGGAAGTGTTCAGTCAGCATTTTAAACTATTATGAGCTACCTTCTGAACCATTGCCAACTTAATAGACAATGAAAGATAATGAGCTTGAAATTGGGTGTTAAATTGCATTTTTGGTTCTCTCTCTCTCTCTCTCTTATTTTTTTTTCTTGAGGTTTAACCATTTCCTGCAGAAACAATATTCCCTGTTGGTGTGCCCTCGCATAAATGTCCACTCTTAGGTCATCCATAAAAACTGCATGTGTAAAGAACAAAATTACTTTCATTCACTCACACAAATGTGGGGCAGTGGAGGGGGGAGGGGGCATGGAGGAGCTGCACTAAAATATCAAGGGGAGGAGTCAGAAATTCTTTTGGGGGAAAGGGAGGAGGCATATAATTGCGCCTTTATCCTAAACAGGAGGAGGATGAATTGTGGCCCGGTCATACTATCAAGCATATATTCATTAGCAGCAGAATCAACATTTTGGGGCCACCTAGGAATCTAGAAGGCAGGCGTGACACTCACTCACACACACACACTCACACAAATGCAAAGCAGCAAGACAGCACTGCTGTAGAGAAAAGCACGGACTTCATGGACAGCACAGAAAAGCATGATCTATTAAGAACATTCTCACACGTTGTTTCCCCAAACAACCTGCACCCCTCCTCCAAAGCTTCAGCTGTGACCCCCAAACCTCCTTGCAAATTTGCTGCTGATTTATATACTTTTACTTTTTTTAAAATGTGACAAAAAGGGAGAGGGGAAAGAAATACATTAAGAGAGATCATATCCGCTACAAATTTATTTCAGGTAAGGTCAGAGTGGAAAAGGTCCAAGTGAGGTCCTAGATTGCAAAATTGGGCATATTAAAACCCCATTACAGGGAGTTCTTGATTTGCAACCATTAGTTTAGAACAGTGGTCGCCAACCGGTGGGCTGGGGACCACTGGTGGTCCGCGAGAAGATTTTGGTGGTCCGCAAAGAAATGTCACCCCCAAAGCACCCCCCAAGCAATTAATGTGGAGTGTGAAGGATGTGTGTTTGTGTTTATTTTCTTGGTCATGATGTGCCCTAAAGATGGTGTTTGATTTCATTGTACGAGGTACAATGCCAATAAAGTAAACTGACTAATTAATCCAGGTTGTGCGGGAACACAAGGCTGCGCCTCCCACATGGCCCAAAGACAGACAGACTTCTGCTGCTTTCCTTGCATGAAGCCAAAGGTCTCTCTCTCTCTCTCTCTCTCTCTCCCCTGAGTTCGGAGCTAGAAACGGTATCCTGCGATCCCAAATAAAGAACGATCAATTGGAAAACGGGGTGGGTAATTTTCCTGCAGACATTTTTTTTTGGGGGGGTTTCCCAGGGTCTCTTGTCCACGGGATTTAAAATTATGAGTTTGGTGGTCCCTGAGGTCCAAAAGGTTGGTGACCCCTGGTTTGGAGTCAGTTCAGTGCTGAAAAAAAACCCCAAATTTATGACAGTCCTCGCACTTATGACTGTCACAGCATTTTCACAGTCACATGAGCAAAGCCTGGGCATTTAGCAACTGGTATGTATTTACAACTGCTGCCATGTCCCAGGGTCATGTGATGGTCATTTGCGACCTTCCTGGCAGCTTCCAGTAATCAAAGTCAACGGGGAAGCCAGATTTGCTAAACAAGTGTGTGAATCACTTAATGGCTGCATTGATTTGCTTAACAACCGGGGACAAAAAGGTCATAAAAGAAGGTGCACCTCACTTAAGAACTGCCTTGCTTAGCAATGGAAATTCTGAAGTCAATTGTGATTGTAAATTGAGGACTACCTGTATTGATACCTGCTGCAGTTTCCAATAGAAGCTAACAGAAAGCACCCTTGAGGGACAGAATATTATGTACCAATGAAAGAGAATATTTGTAGCTCAGAATTGAAATGCTTGTTTTCTTGCAGACGTTTTATTACCCTAGCTCAGTGGTGGCTAACTTCTTCGGGTTACTGTGCCAAAAACTGTGCGCTGTCTTGCATGCTTACGCTCGCGTGCCAGCACCAAGAAGGCAATGTGTGCTCCCCCATGCCCCCTACGTATGCATGAGCAATCCTCACCCACTCCTGCTGCCCCCTTACCTGCACTGCGCCTCACAGCTGATTTTCGGCCTCACAAATGCTTGAGGAAGGCTTCTGCAGTCTTCTCAGGCCAAAAACTAGTCCCGTTTTGTGACTTCCGGTATTTTCAGAAAAACAGGAAGTGATGCGTGCACATACGCAGTGAGGTAAATTTGCCTACAGCTCACATGCCGGCACAAATGGCTCTGCATTCCGCTTGTGGCACGCGTGCCAGAGGTTTGCCATCACGGCCCTAGCTAGTAAGGAGTGCTATTTGCTGTCAGTTTATATTCTGAATACAAACTGACACATAAAGAACGTAAACTGACAGCAAAGAGCACTCCTTATGAGCACTGATAATGTTACCCACGGTAGTTAGGGTAATGAAATGTCTGCAGGAAAACAAGCAAGCTCAGAGAACACCAAGGACCCCTCAGAATTTTATGTTTCTGAATCATACCGATAGGGAATGAACACTACAAAGATAGAGCGACGGGCTGGGAATTGAAGTTAGATGAAATCAGATCCCCCCCCTCCAAAAAAAACCAATATAGGGTAGCCCTTGTTTAGTGACCATTTGTAGTTATGATGCGGAGGAAAAATGTTAACACTGTGACCAATTCCCATGTTTGTAACCTTTGCAAAGCAGATGAAAGCTGAAGTAAGATCATAAGCCATTTAGAGTCATCTTGCAGGGCAGGTAGGCACATAAATAAATAAATAGATGATTAGATAGATAGATAGATAGATAGATAGATAGATAGATAGATAGGCAAGCAAGCAAGCAAGCAAGCAAGCAAGCAAGCACAATTGTGGTTTCACTTAGTGACCACTTTATTAATGACAGAGTTGTCGATCCCAAATGTGGTTGCTAAACAAGGACTACCTATAATGCAAACACCCACACTTTTCAATGTTATTTGTTACAGCAGAACTACACACTGTAGCAAATGGAAGAGGAAAATATTTTGTGTCAGTAGAAACTGCTGGAATTTGAGAGACTGTTATGGGTATACTTGAAAAATGGCTGCCACGGAGGGACCTGGCCGACTCTGGTAATGGCACACTGAGCAGTGCCTGTCAGTAATAGCCATTTGTCAAAAAGCAAGCTGCTGTCCTTGATCTCTGCTGTCTTGATTAGTTCCCACATTATTGCCACTTC